GACACGCTCCCTGTTAGATGACACGCTCCCCGTTAGAGGACACGCTCCCTGTTAGAGGACACGCTCCCTGTTAGAGGACACGCTCCCCGTTAGAGGACACGCTCCCTGTTAGAGGACACGCTCCCTGTTAGAGGACACGCTCCCTGTTAGAAGACACGCTCTCCGTTAGAGGATTGGTACGCACTGGTACTCACAGCGCATGCGTTTAAATTGTGCGCCCAGTGTTGGCTGCGCACAGTCACGTGATCTGCATTATCACTTATACCTTGAGTAATTTTACTCACGTGTGCGGCGGACGCTGAAAATATTGCGCGTGAGTAGTTTGACGCATGCATCATTTTACTTGAGTAAAATTACTCACGTGAGCGCCGGGCTTTACTCGCGGAGATGTCACGCCGACGTTTACAAACGCAGCTTCAATCTCTATATGTCACGCGCCATCGCTGACGACCGCGGCGAGGCGAATATCCCGCTGTGATGATATTAGGCAGTGCCGACAGACAGCAGTTGTCAGGTCGTCTGTGCGAATCGTCACCGTGCTCGTTAGGTGGTCGGTCATCTGTGCGAATCGTCTCACGACATCTGCGGTCTAGTCCAGTCAATATATGAAAATCTTTGGTATTAACCTGTAACAAATTGCAACAGAAGGTTTTTTTGTTGGAAGTTGTTGATTGGAGCCTCCTAAACTTCATATGCAAAATCGGCCAAAATCGGACCACGGGAAACTGGCTAATTAGCATCAATCCAGAATGGCCGCTATTTTTAAGTTTGAGGCTAGTTAGTCGCAGAGATCACTGGTTGTCGACGTTGTGGTCCGATACAAAGGCGTTCTATTCGAATAGCGCGCATACATCGCCGACTATACACACGCGATATAGATTTTCACAAAAATTCCGTTGGCCACTTGTAAACAACGAACGCCGTCAAATATTGCCTCTGACACTATATTGACTATAATAGGAGTGTGAATAATTAACGCTGCCTTTATATCTACGATAGGTATATATATCAAGAGTCCATAATACAGAAGAGTAGGACACTGTTTGCAGCGTGCTTGGGCAGTTTTCAACTTGAATTTATTCTATTAATATGTAAATCAATCTATTCAAACTTTACCTTGTTTTAATCTTAGTTATATGACACCGGCAGTTTACCTAAAAATCGTATGTGTACAGTGCTGGTATCATATTATGACTAAGGGAGAATCAAAGAGTTTTTGTCAAAGTAAAGTTTGAATCGATTTTGTTCACATATTAATAGAATACATTCAAGTTGAAAACTGCCCAAGCACGTACGCTGTAAAAGAGTGTCATACTCTTCTCTATTATGGACTCTTGATATATATATATATATATATATATATATATATATTATAGTAGGATGACACCATCCATATATCAGATGAAACGCAGTGTGATAGCGCGTTTGATATGGATTCTGACATGCACAGTCGATGTCAAACATTTAGGCCGTACAACGTAAAAACCACTTAGCTGGGAGAATGTAGGACAGGTAGGTAGGTAGGAATATGTATATATGTATATCAGGAGCTAATAATGACAAATTGGCCTCATTAGCTCTTGATATATATATATATATATATAATTATTATACATATATATATATATAGGTACTATACTATACTATGTTTTGGTCTTACGGAGTATATATTCGCGTAAAGATTTTAATCCTAATCAATGCGTACCTGCGGGTATATATCCTCATGGCAAACATAATACATACCCATAGCATTAAGATCATACGTCTCGCTCTCTAGATCGCTTTCCTTCCCTGAAATTCTCTCGCGCAATCCGTGCATGTTACTAACACATCGTTAAATCCTAGGTTTTTATAGAGACCGCGGTAAACAGTTCGATTCGATGTCGTTTTGCTATTATATATATATATATAAATAAATAAATAAATAAATAAATACACCTATCTATATATATATATTAGGAGCGTAACCATTGTTGTTGTTCGATAGCAGCAAATGTTTCGAATGAGCCGATGTTAGCTGTAGAGGTGACGGCCGTGAAGCGATGCTCAAATTTCTCTCGCGTTCTTGCGCGTGGGCGGACAAGCGACAGATGATGTAACTATATAATGTTCCCTCTATAGACCCTAGCGGACACGACATGGTACGGGCTTATTGTACAAGCGAGAATATACGATCACGAAATGAGTGCCCCGTTAAGATACCGTGCAGTAAGCAACGGGATGCGCGCCTGTGTTTCATCATATATACACGGTCAACATTACAGCTGTTGCTTACACGAGTTGTATTCGAAGTGCATTTGAAGGATTTGCGCGCTCTGCTGCTAAGTGCCAGCTTTCATCCCCACTTCGCGAGAGATCGTGCGAAAATATGAAGTTCCGGCGGCACATGATCGCAGACTATGTGCTCGGTCCACATTCAAGCATTTTTTCGCCATGTTAAAGCGATTAACGACACACACCGTGACCAGCGCTATAATGCCGCGTGCCAGCAATCTATATACGTATGTGGCGACCTGCGTCCATTCGACTAATACTGTGCACATGAAAGGCAAAATGTTGAAAATAACTGTAATGATAATAATGATGATGATGATGATGATAATGATGATGATGATGATGATGATGATGATGATGATGATGATGGTGGTGGTGGTGGTGGTGGTGCTGGTGGTGGCGGTGTGGTGGGTGGTGGTAGTGATGATGATAATGATGATGATGATATTAATAATAATAATAATAATAATAATAATAATAATAATAATAATAATAATATTATTATTATTATTATTATTATTAAGTGTGAACATTGCACAGTGTGTGGCATGTGTTTTCTCTCTTTCAGAGATTGGCGTGGTGAATGTCGTGATTACGCTCGTCGTGGCTCTGTGCGTTATACTCATCGGCCTTGGCTTGGCGCTATATATAAGGTAACGCTCTTAGGCTTAGTCGCTCACATAATGAGATGCAGCTTGCTACGCGTATAGTGTCAAGCACGCACGCACGCACGCACGCACGCACGCACGCACGTACACACGCATGCACACATGCACGCACGTACACACGCACACACGCACGCACCGCACGCATATACGCACGCACGCAGGCACGAACGAAACCAAACACGCAGGCACGGACGAAACCAAACATGCAGTACGCAGGCAGGCAGGCACTCACACAGGCGCGCATGAACGCAATCACACACGCGCGCACGAACGTATACGCACACACGCACGCAGGTACGTATACACACACGTACGTAATCACACACACACACACGCACGCACGTACGCACGCACGCACGAACTGTTCTTCGATTAGTCTCGTAAAATATTTACTCGTACGTGCGTTCGGGCTCTTGTGTGACGTGTACATATGCCCATAGTTGCATAGATAATAGTGGAGTTTGTACACAATCTCAATCCATATAGACCTCATAGAGTCTGGAAGCAGCTTTGCACATCGCTTCGCATGGCCAACCTTAGCGCATTTTGTGTGCAATGCGATCAGACGAGACTCGTCGAAATTTGTCGAACGCTGTTTAATAGCGTCATTTATTCGACACCGGGAAATTTCTCTAATTTTCCGATACGAGTGCATGCATCGTGTATTAGACGACGCTACCGCATTCAGTAGAATGTGAAATTAATTCCCTACGATGCCGCTAAGAAACTTACGACATGACAAACGCGTATGCGAAATCTTTGAAAAAGTGTCACTTCAATCAGATGTATTATCTAATAACATATTGATGAGGAACATATTATTCTCAGAACCGTACATCCACTTACCCTTATACATTATTCACTCTGCAGAAAAATGCTCGCATTTCTGCTCACTCCAGCCTCTATGATTTCGCGTGTGTTTCTTCTCAATGAAAACATAGTCGTACCGCTCCATAGATTTGCTTCCGTCGCCCATTATGAAATGCTCTTGGGTCTTGCGCATAGTGTCAAATTCCCGACGAGAAATAACATTCTAACATTAGGTCTTCACCTATAGAAATTTAGATAGAGTCCGATGGGAGAAATAGGTACAGGTCACGACCTGGCGAGTGTCTGTCATATCTAGCTTCGATGTAGCGATATATGTATATATATATATATTATATATATATATATATATATATG